TGCGTGAATTTTTGTGTGTGCGTGAATTTTTGTGTGTGCGTGAATTTTTGTGTGTGCGTGAATTTTTGTGTGTGCGTGAATTTTTGTGTGTGCGTGAATTTTTGTGTGTGCGTGAATTTTTGTGTGTGCGTGAATTTTTGTGTGTGCGTGAATTTTTGTGTGTGCGTGAATTTTTGTGTGTGCGTGAATTTTTGTGTGTGCGTGAATTTTTGTGTGTGCGTGAATTTTTGTGTGTGCGTGAATTTTTGTGTGTGCGTGAATTTTTGTGTGTGCGTGAATTTTTGTGTGTGCGTGAATTTTTGTGTGTGCGTGAATTTTTGTGTGTGCGTGAATTTTTGTGTGTGCGTGAATTTTTGTGTGTGCGTGAATTTTTGTGTGTGCGTGAATTTTTGTGTGTGCGTGAATTTTTGTGTGTGCGTGAATTTTTGTGTGTGCGTGAATTTTTGTGTGTGCGTGAATTTTTGTGTGTGCGTGAATTTTTGTGTGTGCGTGAATTTTTGTGTGTGCGTGAATTTTTGTGTGTGCGTGAATTTTTGTGTGTGCGTGAATTTTTGTGTGTGCGTGAATTTTTGTGTGTGCGTGAATTTTTGTGTGTGCGTGAATTTTTGTGTGTGCGTGAATTTTTGTGTGTGCGTGAATTTTTGTGTGTGCGTGAATTTTTGTGTGTGCGTGAATTTTTGTGTGTGCGTGAATTTTTGTGTGTGCGTGAATTTTTGTGTGTGCGTGAATTTTTGTGTGTGCGTGAATTTTTGTGTGTGCGTGAATTTTTGTGTGTGCGTGAATTTTTGTGTGTGCGTGAATTTTTGTGTGTGCGTGAATTTTTGTGTGTGCGTGAATTTTTGTGTGTGCGTGAATTTTTGTGTGTGCGTGAATTTTTGTGTGTGCGTGAATTTTTGTGTGTGCGTGAATTTTTGTGTGTGCGTGAATTTTTGTGTGTGCGTGAATTTTTGTGTGTGCGTGAATTTTTGTGTGTGCGTGAATTTTTGTGTGTGCGTGAATTTTTGTGTGTGCGTGAATTTTTGTGTGTGCGTGAATTTTTGTGTGTGCGTGAATTTTTGTGTGTGCGTGAATTTTTGTGTGTGCGTGAATTTTTGTGTGTGCGTGAATTTTTGTGTGTGCGTGAATTTTTGTGTGTGCGTGAATTTTTGTGTGTGCGTGAATTTTTGTGTGTGCGTGAATTTTTGTGTGTGCGTGAATTTTTGTGTGTGCGTGAATTTTTGTGTGTGCGTGAATTTTTGTGTGTGCGTGAATTTTTGTGTGTGCGTGAATTTTTGTGTGTGCGTGAATTTTTGTGTGTGCGTGAATTTTTGTGTGTGCGTGAATTTTGTGTGTGCGTGAATTTTTGTGTGTGCGTGAATTTGTTATATATATGCAAAAATACACATAATTCTACTCACACATATATGATTATATACATATATGTGCGTGTGTGTGTGTGGGCATACAAGAATACCTACATACATAAATATGAAGAGAGAGAAAGATACATAAATCTTGCATGTGAGTGCGAGTAAGTTCATGATTGCGTATAAGCACATTTACATGCTCGAGAATATATACATATATATCTCTCTATATATACATAAATATGTATATATACGCATATTTGTATGCATCATATATTACCTTCGAATAAATATATCACTGATACAAACAAGGAAAAGTTATATAAATATTTATTATTTTAATAAATAATTAAGATAAGCATTTAGCTATATGGTCGGCCGGCCTCCACACGGTGGATGTCTATCAATACATAATAAATCGATGTCGGAATATTCAATCACTGGTAACCACCGGAGGGCCTCTTGGCGTTACGGGCGTCCTCCTCGGCGGCGAAGGCGATCTGGTCGAGGACGAACTGAGGGATGGGGTGGGGGAACTCGGGGGCCACTGGCAGGTGGGCGCCCTGAGGCTGGAAGCCGTTCCCGTCAGCAACGTACTGAAGGTGGACGTCAGTGCCGTCAGGAGCGGTGTATCTGTGGAAAAGAAAAACGTTTAGTATTGTCAAACATTTAGAAGTACTGTATATACATCCCCAGTAGGTTCTCAGAGAAATGAAAGAGGGCAAGGTCAACTCACGAGAAGGATCCGGCGCTGTTGACGGCTCCCTTCTCTCCGGGAGTGCCGTGCTCTGCAAACACGATGCCGTTGGCAGTCTCCATGTCGAAGTTGTACCTTCCGTCGTCCTCGATCACGCGCTCGTCCCTCAAGATGGCGATCTCCTCGCTGGAGCCGTAGCGAGGTGGGGGGGCGCCGTATCCCTGGGGGACGGCGGCGGCCACGGCGGCCACAGCGGCGAGGATCAGCTGCAAAGGAGAACGTTTAGCAAGTCAGTTGACCTTTCATCTCAACAATTGTTAGGACTCATAAGATGCGTCGATATCTAGATCAGTCGCAAACAGTCGAAGAGTGTTCTCAAGTTCTGTATTTTTTTATGTTCCTTAGAATAAGTCAACTTGGGAGAAATTAATAAAGATCGATTAAAGCTGATTTGATG